TTCTGTATCACTATATGTAGTCTAATAAAAGCAATAACCGTCAGCTCCTGGAAGGAAGTGGGCTTTTTATTTATCTTCCCTTTGTGCTTTGTAACAGAATTTTATTAAGTTGCAAGTAGCAGAGATCTGAAACATAGTGGCTTTGTCTTGTCACATATGTAGGATCTGATTCAGTCCTTCTGTGTTGTAGTAATGCCACGAGTCTCCACTGACCCACATTTCTTCCATCCCTCTGTTCTAGCATCTCCAAGAAATGGTTCAGGTTTCCACAGTGGCTGCTGGGGCTGCCGCCATCACTTTCATATTCCAGGCAGCAGAAAAGAGAAAGGGGAGGGAAGTTTCTAGAAGTCCCATTCCCCTTCTCCTTGCATATCATTCTCCAAAACTTCCAGACTCAGCAGCAAGAAAGGCTGCAGAATGGAGTCTTTCAGCCGATTGATCATGTGCCTGGCCAAAAACTGGTTCTATTTTTAAGGAAGCAGTTGATGAATGTAAGTTAGCAGAGTATTGGCCAAAGGACTTCTCTGTTGAGAGCAGTTTAGAGAGATTAAAGTTTAAGAGATTAAATATCCAGAAAGGCTGAGATGGTAGAAAATTTCTCAAGACAGTTTACACAGGGAGGAGGGCTTGGAAAATTCAGAGGCCATTCTGTGAACTTTTTTTTTAACATTGAAAATACATATTGGATTGTTTTGATTCCATAATTATACCTGTTAATTTCTGAAGTTTTGGCAAAAGAAGAAAATAGAGTCCCCTACTCGCAGAACCTAGCGTTAGCCCTCGTTTACATTTTCGTGTGCTTTATTCCAACCTCTTCCAGACATAAATAACTTATTAATTTTTAACAAGTGAGGGAAAAAAGACCATTCTTGATTTGTGTGAGTATGTGTGGGTGTAGATGTGTGTGTGTGTGTAGTGGTGTTTTAACTGCTTTTTAAAAAAGGAATACAGTGAAAAGACTTCCTCCCACCTTTGTCTCTTCTCCGGTCCCCCACTTCATGATCACTGCTCATGGTGGTTCTGTATATCACACCTGAGTTTATTTTTTGCATGTTTCAGCAAATGCAAACTTTCATATTCCCTTTGACACATTTTATACAAACGCCTGTTATTCATACTGTTCCTCATCTTGCTTTCTCCACTCACAGTTTATTCTCACCTTCCTTTCTCCTATCAACACAGAGCTCCCCTCCTCACTTCCACAGCATTCCTTCATGTGGATGGATTCTATTTGTTAAACAGCTCCCTATTGATGGGTACATGAGTTTCCAATCTTTTGCTGTAATAAACAAATAGACTTTTATGGATCTCATTTGCATACAGTAGCGTATTTGTAGGATTAAGTCTTAGATGTGGGATTGCTAGATGAGATGCATTCATAACTTTGATAGGTATCTCCAGATTACTCTCTATGCTGATTGTAACAATTTACACTCCCACCAGCAGTATATGAGCATGTCTGTTTCCCTATGACCTCATCAAAAGAGTGTATTTTCAAACTTCTGCATTTTTGCCTGTATGATAAATTTTTAAATTCTAACTTGGTGTTACAGCTTTATAATGAGGAGGCTGACTCATAGCTTTGTTTGTTTTTAAATTTCCATGTCTCTGCTCAGTGCTTTCCCTTTTGTGAACATTTGCCTATGAGATCTTTGGGCATGCAATGGTCTGTTTAATTAATAAACAGAGGAGAGCTACAGCCTCAATTCAACAGTTACTATTTCTCCCTGCATCTTATCCCTGTTAAATGCTCTAGTTGCCTTCTAGCTAAGTGATTATTTATGATTGTGATGATTTATACCCTGATTCATTTCTAAGATATTTCAAGTCAGAAAGTTGGAATAAGGGGAAACTAAGAGTAAAACATGACTGTAGGGAAAGCAAGACGAGGCCAGAGATGAAGTCAGCGCCCCAGATGTCAACACTGGCTAGAGGTCGGTCATAGGTCTGGCCAGTACGAAGAGAGACGGAGTTCACCGCATCTCCGCAGTGCTGGCTTTCCAGAGTCTCTGATAGATACGGTAGAGTGCTTCGAGAATGGACGCTCCTCTTCCTTTGCTCTCGTGGTCCCACCGGGGCGCCACACAGAACTGGAGCCGCAGAGGCAGCAACACCACTGGGAGGAAAGCAGTCTGGCCGATGGGAAGGGAAGGGGAGAGGAGAGGCTTGGTAGTAAGGAGACCCGAGGAAAGGAGGAAGGGAATGTGCTTAGAATACACACTGGTCAGAGGCGGCTGCCTCCAAAAATCACCTACACCTGGATAGATGTAGCACCATTTACCAAACTGTAGGTGTTGTAAATTCATATCAACTTAATTCCACTGAAATTCTTTTTTTTTTAATTTATTCATTTATTTGACTGTGCCAGGTCTTGGCTGTGGCATGTGGAATCTTCAGTTGCAGCATGTGGGATCTAGTTCCCTTATCAGGGATTGAACCCAGGCCCCCTGCATTGGGAGTGTGGAGTCTTAGCCACTGGACCACCAGGGAAGTCCGCTACTGAAATTCTTATTCACGTGGCATGCTTTCTCTAAGTCCCGACCTTGGTCAGATTTCTTTGGGGCATCTTGGCTTATTTTTCTGGGCAAGTTGTACTTGGAGTTGACTTCTCTAGAAAAAGGAGATTGCTTTGGGCTTGGTTAGTGACAATACATTGTAAGAAAACATTTGGCATCCTAAAGGAAGGGAGCATACTTCTAAGAATGTTTAGGAAAGACCTGAGAACATCTTCATGTCTATCTAACTTGACAGTATTTTGCTTTTCTGCATACTTCATGCTGAAGGGAATGGTAAACCACTTCAGTATTCTTACCTTGAGAACCCCATGAAGAGAATAAAAAGGCAAAAAGATATGACAGTGAAAGATGAACTCCCCAGATCAGTAGGTGCCCAATATGCTACTAGAGAAGAGCAGAGAAATAGCTCCAGAAAGAATTAAGAGGCTGAATCAAAGCAAAAATAGCACCTGATTGTGGATGTGACTGGTGATGGAAGTAAAGTTCAAAGCATAGAAACCTGGAATGTGAGGTCCATGAATCAAGGTAAATTGGAAGTGGTCAAACAGGAGATGGCAAGAATGAATATAGACATAGGAATCAGTAAGCTAAAATGGGATGGAATGGGTGAATTTAATTCAAATGACCATTATAACTACTATTGTGGGCAAGAAACCCTTAGAAGAAATGGAGTAGCCCTCAGTATCAACAAAAGAGTCAAAAATACAGTACTTGGGTGCAGTCTCAAAAAACGACAAAATGATCTCTGTTGGTTTCCAAGGCAAACCATTCAGTATCACAGTAATCCAAGTCTATGCCCCACCACTAATGCTGAAGAAGCTGAAGTTGAATGGTTCTATGAAGACCTACAAGACCTTCTAGAACTAACATCAAGAAAAGATGTCCTTTTCATTATAGGGGACTGGAATGCAAAAGTAGAAAGTCAAGAGATACCTGGAATAACGGNAAGAGGGAGGGTAGGCCAAACAATAGGCCATTTCCACCAAGTGAAGGGCAACCAAATTTGGCAGAGGTGCTTAAAGCCATTTTACTTCATTTTTTCTTCTACCCATCCTCCCAGGAACCAAACATTTAAATATCTGAAGCACAATCATTTAATAGCTTCCCAAACAGAGCTGAGTCTCTCCCTGAGCAGACTATGCTTAGCTCAGCTCAACTGCATCAGATACTCACCCAACACTTAAGCACTGCCTGAGGAAGCAATAATGGCATGATGACGAGCACCCGAAAGTGCATATATGGGGAGAAAACTGATGATTTACCTTCCACCCTCCAAGAAGTTACAGATGTTGTCATCCCGTTTGAGAACTAAATGAAAGGTCTCTCGAACAATCTGCTGCTGAATTTCTTCTGGCTATGGAATAAAAGAAATAAAGTGAGTCAGTGGAAAAGCCTGAAAAACTATATCCCATCAAAGAGGAGAGACAGGAAGCCAAGTGCTTCCAAATAGGAATGATCTGAACATTTGGTACCAGTTTCCTGAAAAGACAGAAATGATGAGTAGAGGAAAAAATAAAAGGAGAATCTATAGAAAATGGAAAAGGCTCTGTTACAGGAAATAAAATAGGGTATATTTACCTAGATATCTAGTCCCTAACCATTACTGTCCTGCTAGGTGAGCTGATATTTCTCATACAAGGTCAAAGAATTCACATAAAACGTTGAAGAATATCTAGAAGGCACAGTCCTGAAATATTTTATATTACCCTAGAAAACATCTATGCCAGGACAAATAACATATGTTAATAGATCTACCACTGTAAGGAAGTCAAGATGTAATCATGTACATGTTTTAAAAACCTGCATGAGAGTCCCTTGGACCGCAAGGAGATCAGATCAGTCAATCCTGAAGGAAATCAGTCCTGAATATTCAGTGAAAGGACTGATGCTGAAGCTGAAACTCCAATACTTTGGCCACCTGATGCGAAGAACTGACTCAATGGAAAAGACCCTGATGCTGGCAAAGATTGAAGGCAGGAGGAGAAGGGGACGACAGAGATGAGATGGTTGGATGGCATCACTGACTTGATGGACATGAGTTTGAGGAAGCTCCAGGGGTTGGTGATGGACAGGGGAAGGTTGGTGATGGACAGGCTAGGGAAGCCTAGCGTGCTGCAGTCTTTGGGGTTGCAAAGAGTCGGACATGACTGAGTGACTGAACTGAACTTATACTTCAGGCATTAAATTGTCACTTTAAGTCTAGATTGAAGAATCAGCCATCCTATAACTATAGCTCTGGTAAGAGTTGTTTGCTTGTGGAAGGGTGTATGAGAAACAAAAAATAGTGCTAGTGTAGTGGAATAAACATTTTTCCCAAAAAATCAATGTTCTTATATTGTCTTTTCAGACACACACAAAACCATAGCCATTGCTCAGGATCAAAAATAAACTTGTTTTGCTTCATTTGGTTCAGATAAAGCTATCTTCTCTTCAGACGAACCAAACAAACCCTTTTACTTACAGCACAATATTTTGTCTTTCCAGGCATCCTATAAACCGCTGTTGAAGCAGGTCATGGAGGAAATATTTAATCCCGAGAGGCCAGATCCAGTTGACATTGAACACATGTCTTCAGGCCTCACTGATCTCCTTAAAACTGGATTCAGCATGTTCATGAAGGTAAAGTCACTGTGACAAGGTAATCCTAAGTGTAGTGCTATCTTTGCTGGGCTTGAAAATGCTGATCCCTCCTTAACCCTGAGTATCACAGAAGAGAATGTCTAGCCTTTCTGAAATCAGGTACAATCTTTATGTAACTTTTGCTTATAAGCAGCCTGACCTTCTAGCTTCCCTTAACCTAAGTATTATGATCTTTTCTGATCAATAGGTAAGGACAGAGCCCTCCAGGGTAGTGCTACTGAAAGTATCCCTCCTGGTTCACATTTTCACTTAACACAAATCCACATACAGATCTTAGTGGTAGTGTTGTGCCCTTAATTCTAGAGCTTACTGTGTGGGATAACAAGTAACTCTCCTCAGTCATACAACCAGCATCATCCCACAATCCATTTGAAAATGACTTTTAATTTGGCTTAACAGACTCCTGGGTGACAAGTACGAGAATTTCTCTAGCTAATATCGAGGCTAAGTCAAAATTACCAAACCGCCTTTGCAGTGGAGATGAAAGGAGGAAAAGTACACAAATGTGATCTATTTTTAACCCACTGTAAAGTTTCTAAATTTAAAAAGATCTAAATGAGATTACAGGCTGACCTCCTCATCTATGCCAGGATTTCGGTTGTAATAACTCTTGGAAATAACAGAATGTTTTGCCAGTTTCAAAGCGTCTTTGAAATCATGAATTAATCTTCATAGATGATCTGGCCTTTCAGAGTTCAATAAATGCATATGCCAGGAAAACTGGTCCGCTCCAAAAGCCAGAGGGCGGAAGCCAGTCAGACTCTAAACCAAGCAGTGAGCAGCTGGAATGGACTGTAGGTCTCCTCCCCAGTACTTCCAGTCATCATCAGCTTCTGATGCAACGTGTGGCTGGGGCATTTTCCCTCTATCTGTTTTTTTGTTGTTTTTTCTAAAATAATACAGCACAGATCAGCTTCTCAAAAGTGTTCAAGGGTTCCTGTGTAAATGTGAGTCAGGGTTGTCTAGCAGCTCTTCATTCTGGCTGGTTTTACAGATGCTTCCGAGCTAGATGTGCTCTCTGACTTTCTCCACCTGAGCACTCTATTGCTTCATTCATAAGCTTGGACTTAACCTTGAAGAGAGACTAAAATAAGAAGTGTGGATTTTCCTGCCCTCGTTGGTCAGGTCTGAGCACAGCCCACTGTGACCTTTTGCAGTCAGCCTGCTGCATCCATAGTCTGGCCAAGGGCCCAAGTGGAGGCTCGAACTCGCCTGAGCAGAGTGCTGATTTGCAAAGAAGCATGGTGTCAGTGAGAGGAGGCCTTAACTTGCCCGAACATAACTCGCCAATGATGTTCTACAGAAGAACGGTTTCCTGGCAAAAGGGTTCTGTGACAAAATATGTCACAGAACATTATTAAACAGAAAATTAAACCGAAAGTCTTTGCTGTCACATGTCACAGTACCTTTAATACACTAATGGACTTCTCAACTCTCTGACGGCCGACACAGGCCGTCTGTTGTAGAAGGACTGTCCACTTGTGTTTTCCATCACTGTTTCATGAACCATGAGACATTACATCTTTAAATTACCCTTTTAAACTCTACAGGGTGTTTTCTGCAGTTCTCCTTGCGGTCGGAAGCTCCACTGTCCTGAGACGGGCTTTGCCTGGGGGATGTTTAGGACTGTCCTGGGCCATCACTGGGCTGCCGAGTTTCTCTCCATTCAAATCCCTGGAGTTAGGGTTTATACAGAGATGCTCCTGCCCCCAGAGACGGATCCCAAAAGGAGGTTTCCATTTAATGGATTTAAGAAAAAGAATTGTGCGTTCTCCCAGCAGCTGCCAGGACCCACTCCTCAGCCCCCAGCTGCTGGGCCTCTGCACTCACTTACCAGGGGCGTCTCATTTGTCTGCAGGTGGTGGGAGAGTCTTGGTGGGCTAGGCAGAACCCTCCCCACCCCAGCACCCCAAGGGAGAATTGTTTTATTTTGTTTCTACCTGGACCTCTATGGCTGGCTCTTCTCATCATTCCAGAGAACTTGGCAAGGAAAGTTATTGGCAGCCCACATGTCAGGGTTTGAACAAAACTGTGGTAAACGAAAAGAGAAACACTGAGCTTTGAAGAACCGCTTTGGTTTGGTTTAAGGCCGGTGGAAAGAAGGGGATGTGGAGGGAGGAGGCAGAGGCTCTCATGGCCACGGCCGTTCACCAGTCTCCCTGGTCCTGTTCTCGGAGGCTTCTCACTACCAGAGTCAGCTAAGCTGTGGTCACCTGTACCCGCGGATCAGCCATTCTCACATTCAGACCTTACAATGACCCTTCCATTATCCCTGCTTTACCCACGGGGAGACTGAAGCCCAGAGGGGTAAGCAGTAGATGGAACTTTCAGAAGGCTCGGGCTGGGTCGTCCTCCCCCCTCTTCTAGGTGTTTTGTGAACAGCACGCAGGAAGTGGGACACCAGGATTCGTCCCCAGATCCATCTTATTCCAAAGCCCACACAACATTTCTTGGCACCAGGATGCTACCAGGTATTCTCTTGCAAGTTCAGTATTCGTGTGTCGTAAACTCTTTCCTTCCTGCTGACTCATTAGCACAGATGCTTTCCCTCCCCATATCTATGCAGTGCCTCAATCAGCTCCCAGCCCGGAGTGAACCTCAGAACAGCCCAGGTGAGGGCACTCTCCCGCGGTCATCTGCCGGTACTGCTTCTCTGGGACTCAGTCCAGGGACTCATGGGCCGTACAGCCCTGGGGGGAGAAATGTGCACCACACGCTGCGACTTCATTCTGTATCAGCGGCCAACAGCCATTGCTTTCCTGCCACTTGCTGCCCTGCTCTTTGCCTCTGGGACCTGTTTCCCCCTCTTCTCACTCAGAGCCAACCGAAGCTAAGCCTGAAAGGACCAAACAGAACCTGATGAAATAAAGGTATCCATGTGGCCTCCTTCTCTGCTTGGGGTGCTGTCGTCCAAATGGGAGAGCCGTGGTGCTGGAAAGGGAGCTGAGCTACTCGCCTGTCTCTGGGCCACATGGTTTCACAGATGACGTTGGCTTAGAGTCATCAGAGGGAGAACCTGCAGCCTAGGCAGGGGCGAGAAGCTGGGGAGAGATGTGCTAGTAAGTAGACGAGTAGATGTTCCTACAGGGTGTGTTGTGGGCCCCACAGCGGTGACAGGAAGACCACAGGAGAGGGGTTTCCAGGCCCCAGGGTATCGTCAGGGCGCCTTACACTGCACATACCACTGCGGCTGCATGTACTCCTGCTTTATCATGATACATCTCTGTCATTACACATTGGAGTGAAGTGAAAGTCGCTCAGTCATGTCCAACTCTTTGTGGACTATAAATTGAGGATGATAATAGTACCCACTTTATAGGGCTGTTGTGAGAATGCAGTGAGTTCATACATACAACGGTGCCTGTCCTACAAGTAGTGCTAAGTTCAGTCGTGTCTGACTCCCTGTGACCCCATGAACTGCAGTGTACAGCCCCTGGGGGAGAAGTGTGCACCACACGCTGCGACTTCATTCTGTATCAGCGGCCGACAGCCATTGCTTTCCTGCCACTTGCTGCCCTGCTCTTTGCCTCTGGGACCTGTTTCCCCCTCTTGTCACTCAGAGCCAACCGAAGCTAAGCCTGAAAGGACCAAACAGAACCTGATGAAATAAAGGTATCCATGTGGCCTCCTTCTCTGCTTGGGGTGCTGTCGTCCAAATGGGAGAGCCGTGGTGCTGGAAAGGGAGCTGAGCTACTCGCCTGTCTCTGGGCTCACATGGTTTCACAGATGACATTGGCTCAGAGTCATCAGAGGGAGAACCTGCAGCCTAGGCAGGGGTGAGAAGCCGGGGAGAGATGTGCTAGTAAGTAGACGAGTAGATGTTCCTGCAGGGTGTGTTGTGGGCCCCACAGCGGTGACAGGAAGACCACAGGAGAGGGGTTTCCAGGCCCCAGGGTATCGTCAGGGCGCCTTACACTGTGCACACACCACTGCGGCTGCATGTACTCCTGCTTTATCATGATACATCTCTGTCATTACACATTGGAGTGAAGTGAAAGTCGCTCAGTCATGTCCGACTCTTTGTGGACTATAAACTGAGGATGATAATAGTACCCACTTTATAGGGCTGTTGTGAGAATGCAGTGAGTTCATACATACAACGGTGCCTGTCCTACAGTAAGTGCTAAGTTCAGTCGTGTCTGACTCCCTGTGACCCCATGAACCGCAGCACTCCAGGCCTCCCTGTCCATCATCAACTTCTGGAGTCCACCCAAACCCATGTCCATTGAGTCGGTGATGACATCCAACTATCTCATCCTCTGTTGTCCCCTCTCCTCCTGCCCTCAATCTTTCCCAGCATCAGGGTCTTTTTTAATGAGTCAGCTCTTCACATCAGGTGGCCAAAGCATTGGAGTTTCAGCTCAACATCAGTCCCTCCAATGAACACCCAGGACTAATCTCCTTTAGGATGGACTGGGTGGATCTCCTTGCGGTCCAAGGGACTCTCAAGAGTCTTCTCCAACATCACAGTTCAAAAGCATCAATTCTTCTGTGTTTGGCTTTCTTAGTCCAACTCTCATGTCCATACATGATCACTGGAAAAACCATAGCCTTGACTAGATGGACCTTTGTTAGCAAAGTAATGTCTCTGCTTTTTAATATGCTGTCCAGGTTGGTCATAGCTTTTCTTCCAAGGAGCAAGCAT